ATTAATTTTTTTCTTCTCTCAGGGTGTTGGTCGACGATTCGCGTTCTTGTGTTGCCGTAAGGCAGATGTTGATGTTTCCAAACGAGCAGGAGAACTTTCTGAAGATGATTTCGAGAAGATTGTCACCATCATGCAGAATCCAGCACAATACAAAATCCCGAACTGGTTCCTCAACAGACAAAAGGATATCAAGGATGGAAAGTATTCCCAGGTTTGTGAGCTGTTTCATAGCTCTGCGAATTCATTAAGTGAAGCGTCAGATTTTTTCCTTGCGGCGGTTTTGAAGCCTCGAGGGTCACTACTGACGCAAATCATTTTATCGATTTTATCCGTGCTGTTTGCGTAGACTTCGCGGTTCCAGTCGGTAAAACATTTTGCTATTTATACCGTTCGACTCCCGAAATTTCTTTTTTATTGCGAAACTAGTCGAATATGGAATGAGGTTTATGCGGTTGTGTTCATCATGTAACAGTGGGCAGGGAGAACACGACCAGGGTTTTTTTTTCAATAAGCTTGTCGCATTAACATAGCAATAAAAGGAAGACTTCACTTTCTATTTTTGCCATTTTCTGTGTTTTTTATGTCCAACACAGCTTTCTGCCGTTACTTCTTTTTGATTCGATGCATCGCTGTTGCATAGTTTTGTTTGCAAGATAACCAAATTCTTCAAATCCTTTTGTTTTCCATAACAAATTCATTCACTTTTGCGAGGAGTTGCGCAACGAAGTTCAAAGTCTTTGGGAATTGTCTCAAAATATTTTGGAATAAAGTTCACGCTTTCAAAAAAAGAAAATGTAAAAACGTCTGGCACACCATTAGAAGGAAGGAACTCTGCAATAGTTTGAGTGAAGAAGTCACTCTGAGACTAGCTTTGCACTTTTGGACGGTCTGGCAGAAGTGCTTGGCAGTGTTCAGGGTTTTCGCTTAGCATTTTAAATTCGCTTAATGACCTTGTATCACTAAAGGTGAATGGCACCACCTCTGATTCATTTTTCGTATGAGATTTCTGTTACGATTTCTTTTCAACCAGGAGTCTTCGAAGGAGCCTTTCAATTAACTTGATCAACATTTGCTGTTTACATATTTAACGACCTTTTCAGAAGAAAAAATCTTAAACAAGTTCGAGGCGTGGTTTAGGTTTTCGTAGCCTCGTAATCGTCGCTTATGGAGTTTCCAAGCAGTTAACTCACTGTTTGTGGTCTAGGAAAATAAGGCACTACATACGCTCACAAAGTCAAACGATTTTTAAGTCTTATATTTCGCTGCTCTAGAGCTTTTTGGGAAGTCATATTCTAATTGCTCAGCTAGTGCAAGGTAGTCTTTGTATCACTTTCTCTCTAAAGCTTTGGAAGGGGTCGTTTCTCTTGAAGTTTTTCGAAGTTTTTTTTTGCTGTCCACAAGTTTGATGATAATTTTCACGTCGGTTTTTCACTCGCATCACGGAATTATATCCGGCCATAGTTCTCTTTGTGATTATAGATGAAACTAGATAATGAAAACGTATTTTGCAAGGTCATTGTGTTCATTGTATGTAATTTATCATCATTGTTTCAGCTCCTTTCCACTGGTGTAGACAACAAGCTTCGTGAGGATCTTGAGCGCCTGAAGAAGATTCGTCTGCACAGAGGTCTCCGTCACTACTGGGGACTGCGTGTGCGAGGTCAACACACATCAACACACAAAAACCACCGGACGCAAGGGACGCACTGTGGGTGTGTCGAAGAAGAAGGGAGGATAAGCGTTATGTCGTTGTGGGTGTTGTTTTGTTTTGCCCGATAAATTGTTATTACAATTTTATTGCCAAATTTAAATATTTTTCTTCCCGCTTTCGTTGATTGTTTCGAGCTCCAAGCATACGTGATTGAGAAGTACCAAGTATCACCAGGTGTATGAAAAACAAGTCCTGCGCAGCCACTGAAATAAGAACCAATGAGCTTCGTTAATTCAAAATGGAAGTCCCTTAAGCCAAAAATTAGGTAGTCAAATGTAGGTCTTCGTTTCAATCGAAGAATATCACTTACCTGCTTAACACGACGTTACCATTGAGTACGTCTTTAAATCCATTAATCAGAACGTTTTGAAATACTGCTGCTCCTGTACCTTCCTCACCAAGAAAGAAGAACACACCAAAAATTCCTGAACTTTTCATCAACTAGCATAACTATTTTATTGACTATTATTGCGACATCTAGTCATGTTTTCGTAATTGACGGCAAATGCTTTTCTAACAGTTCTGTAGAGCTCTGAATTCTTCTCATCTTTCAACTAACCTGGAATGACGGTCGCTAGCATTGACAGAGCGATCAAACGTCTTGTATTTTCCTCTCCAATGTTTCGTCGAAATTCTTGGAACTGTGAAGTGCTCCACAACGCCTTCCCAATTTTTTCGATGATTAACTCCGCAGCAGATAGAGAAACCTGGAAAATTTTAACCTATTTCTGTCATTGTGCTGATTAGCGGTAGCTCCTACCCAGCAAATGTAATGAGTTTTGGTGCCATGCCAAGCTAAAACTACTCCAAAAGACGGCGATCAGCGCCAATAGACCTCGAAACACAGCATGAGGCATTGTAGCTTTCATGAGAGGTATGTATACCTAAAACTGTTAGTGAACTATTCTACCTTAAGTGCCTAATGAAGAGCTTACATGATTCTTAAGAAATTGGTAGAGTCCTGCGTCAAAATGGCGCCACATACGTGAATAGCGTGAGACTCGAGAAATGCATATTGGAGGAGGTGGCGGCTTCATTCCTGAACTCAAACAAGGCTTTATAAGTGGTCTAGTGAATACCTTGTATCGTCCATCGTTGTCTTTTGGAGATTTTTCACCTGCACTCTTTATTACTAGTAATGTGAT